CATGGATTGGTTGGTCAAATGAAACAAGTACATATATAAGAATAAAATTTCAATTTGATTCTATTCGTCAAATAAATCGTGTAACAATACATACAAATAATTTATTTTCAAAAGAAATTCTTATATTTAAAACTGCAATAATATCATTTTCAAAAATTGATAATGAAAATAATTATTCAAATATAATTATTTATCAACATAATCGTGATGATATATTTGAAATAGCACGTCCAATATTAATTGAATTAAATAATCATATAGCTAAATTTGTACGTTTAGATTTATATTTTGATTCAAAATGGTTATTAATTAGTGAAATAACATTTGATTCACAAATATATAATGAAAAAATTGAAAAGAATAATGAAATTAAAGAAAAATTTCTTAGAAAATCTTTTAATATTGAAAATGATTTACGTAAAAATTATCGAGATATACAAAAAACAACAATATTAATGAATTCATCTGCAAAAATATCACCAGTTATTACAATTGAATTATCTTTAGCTTTTTTTATTGGTGCTTTATTAGTTATTACTATTTTATTAATTGTTTCACTTATATGGATTCTTAAACGAAAGAAAAAATTACAATTTCAAAAGTAAATATCATTAATAAACTTATTTCTTTTTTTTGTTCTTGTATATAGATAAAGATTTATTTTTTAGATTAACTGAAAAACCATGTAATAATTCATCATGTTATACTTATCCAACATTACAAATACGTGAGTTCCATGATTTAAATGCACCTATTGAAAGTGCTATTGATGATCGTGAATATGCAATACCAGATGTAAATTTCTATTCAACATTTTCACCTAAACATAATTTAACTAGTCCTCATCTAATACGACCATTAACAATAAATTCAAATAATATGAATTCATATCCAACTTTAAAACCAATATTACATTGTTGTATTCATCAACAACAACAAAAACAACATTTATCTATGTATCAACAATCATCGATATTATTTTCTTCGATAGAAGAAATTCCATCAATTGAAGCTACTTGTGGAAATAGTTTAATGATTACAATGAATCTAATTATGGATAATAAACAAATATCAATAAAAGAAATAAATAGTGATGATTTAATTTGTATTGATAATATTGGTCATGGATTATTTGGAAATATACATCTAGCTGAATTACAAATAACTAATAATGATAATCAGATAGAAAAACAAAATGTAATTATTAAATCATTAAATGAAAATGTAGATGTTAAACAAAAGTAAGTTATGAACAAAAATGAAAATGTTTCTGATCATACTAATTCTGTTATATTTCTTAATATGAACCTATGGTAATGATTGATTCGATAGTATTGTTAATTGAGATTTGTAGATCCCTCTTTTTAGGTCAGATTTCATTCTCGAGATTCTAACTCAGCAAGAAAAACTATGAAATCTAAAACTGATCAAAGTGTTGGAACCATTCTAAAGTAGAGATGTACAGGATAAATTTTTATTCGTACCTTGACTGAGAAAAATTTTCTAACTCTTACTGTGAGAAACTTCTACTCATATCCTATGTTACACATCTCTATTCTGAAGATCTACGAACTTTCAATAACTTAATAATAAAAATGTCTGAAATCTTTCGTTTTTGTTTTTGTTAAAAGACGATCGTATTCGTGTTAAAATCAAAATCTTAAAAAAACCATATCCCTGAATAAATAATTTAAGTCTAATTAGTCTTTAATTTCTATCCTTTGAGTACATTGTAATTTTAATTTAATTTAATTTGAATGAATTCGAATATAATTGTTAATTAATAATCTAATATTTTTAGAGCATTATTTTGGAAAGAAATTGAATTACTTTCAATAATGAATAATACAAATGTATGTTCTCTATTGGGTATTTTGAATTCACAACGAACAGTAGCTATATTTGAATATTATTCACTTGATTTATATCAATATCTTCGTCAACAATCAATACCATTAGATAATTGTTCAGCATCAAGTTTTTTACTTTCATTAGCATGTCAGATAGCATCTGGAATGAAATATTTATCATCTCTTCAAATAATTCATCGAGATTTAGCTACAAGAAATTGTTTAATTTCACCTATAGATCATCAATTACATTTAACTGATATTGCTATGGCTAAATTAGAATATGCAAATGATTATGCACGAGTTGGACAACATCAATATCGTATTGCAATACGATGGTCTGCTTGGGAATCTATATTTCTTAATAAATTTTCTTTGAAATCCGATATTTGGTCATTTGGTGTAACACTTTATGAATTATTTACTTATGCACGACAACGTCCTTATCATACATTAACAAATGAACAATTCATACAACAATTTGCTTGTCTATCACACACAGAATTATCACCATCATGTTTAATCATAACTAATCTTCATTTACCACAACCAGAATTATGTTCAAAAGAAATTTATGATATGATGTGTGAATGTTGGCAAAGAGATTCTCAACATCGACCATCATTTGCTGATATACATACATTTTTACTTGGTAAAGCATCTGGTTCAACTTCATTGACATTATCAGGGCTATAGATGTTGTGAGTGTTTTTTTTTTAAAAAATAAACAAAACGATTAGTATTCTTTATATATATGTAGTTTTTGCGATTGTTTTTTTTTTCCTTTTATTTTTAATTTGGAATTAAAATATTGCTTTAGTCAAATGTCTCATTCGGGTTCATGAATACCTAGATGTACATAAATTATAATGATAATATAAATATAATAAAAATTTTAGTAATGTTTTGAACAATCTATTATAATAAATAGACACACTAAGGCTATTTCTTTAGTAAACAATATGCGTAATCTGATGTATTGTATAGTAAATGAAGATATGATGTACTTTGTATTGACGATCAAAACTATTCAATAAAGGAAATAGAAGTAGGCTTACATTTTGATTATGGTTTCCATTAGTCGAATTCATATGAAATCAGATATCTGCCGAGATGCTTTTGCAAGTAAATTCATTTGCGCTATTCGATTTTAATGAAGTTGTTTTGTGAGAAGCATATCATTATAGCAAATATATTATCATAAATAATGAATTGAAAGTTTTGAGTCCTCTCAAAAAATTTGCTTTTTTTTTGCTTACGATGGAAGGTCCCCAAGTGTGAATCACCATTCCAAGTGGGAGATATTCCAGATTGTAGAGCTCGATGAGCTGATTCTCATGGTATGATTTGTTTTTCTCGATAGAACTTCAAATGCGAAAAACTAATCGATTTTACTAGTGAATTTTTACACGTTCCATAAGTTTCGAGACAGTTGTTAGAAATTTAGAACTTTAAAGAGACTTCATTTCTAGATGGTCATGTTATAGAATAGAGAATACCACATGTGATGATCTATTTTTGTATTATTTTCAAAGAATCGGGAAACAGTATTTTCTTGTAAAACTTATTTTCATTATTGCTCTGAATTTTAATTGTTGATTTATTACACTTGGAGGTATTTAAGCGCTCCCGAGAGAAAATGTCGTTAAATATTCAGAACATGAAGTTGAATTTACTCTTGAAATAATATAAAAATAGATCATCACATGTGGCATTCTCTGTTCTATAACATGACCATCTAAAAATTAAATTTCTTTGAAGTTCTAAATTTCTAACAACTGTCTCGAAACTTATGGAAAATGTAGGAATTCACTAGTAAAATCGATCAATTTTTCGCATTTGAAGTTCTATCAGGAAAAACGCACCATATCACGAGAATCAACTCATCGAGCTCTAAAATCTGGGATATGTTTCATTCGAAATGGTGATTCACACTTGGAAACCTTCTCTCTGGTGAATGATGTAAAACACACATTATTACCATAGTTGAATCTGCAAATAAGAACAGCAACAAGATCTGAAACATTCACAAAAAAAAACTATTCTCGTTAATGCCTGTTTCTATGTAAAGTTTCAAGTTGAAATTCGAAAATCAGTTTTTTCGGTGTTCTTGAGGGAGACCATAACATTTATTTAAAAAATACCGTAAAATTGCATTATCTCCATAGTAATAAGCTAAGGATTCGAACTCTTTTCAAGGTATTCATAGCTCATTTGAATCTCCATAACGCACATAGTGTCAACGTAAAAGTGATTGAACTGTTGGTGGCCTTTCCTCGTAAGTTAAAAATCTTCGTTAAAATAATAAACTTTTATGTATTATACTCTATTCTAATTTCACACAGTAGATGTTTTTCTTCTTATGCTTAAGACGCTTACTATTGAAACCAACATTGAAATTCGTCGTTTTTGTAGAAGTCTTTATAGAAAACTATAAAAGTCAAAAAAAAGTATTCCGTTCTTGTGTAAAAAAAATATGTAATTCATCAGATTACACTATAGTGTGAATAGATATTTATCTGTTCATTATCTCATGTTATGTTCTTATAAGTTTATGCATAATTTTATTGCTTATTAAATTCTCTATTGAACAATGTATAGCATTGAATCACATCTTTAACCTGGGAGTAAAAAAGACCAGAAATGATCTTAGGTTAAAAAAGGCATTCCCAGGATTTTTTTTATTTTGCAGAACATATACAAAATTTGCTTTTTTGCTGTATTTTTTTCTTGAGTAAAAGTTCTATTTCGTTCAGTATACGCAGAATTTCATGACGTATCTTTTGGTCATATTACACTTTGATTGTAATATACTATAGTTCTGAGGTTTCGGGCAAGGTTTTTGAAAAACTACTGTTGGATAATGAAAAACATGTTTTTCAGAAAAATCAGTATTTCTCTGCGAATACTCGTTAAATCATTCCAAAAATTTCAGAGCATATATAATTTCTGTTCTTCTGTCAAACTATTAAAAGATCAGGTCAAAACCTTTTAATGGAAAATTTTTCGAAATTTCATATCTGCTGAGAATCTGAAAAAAGCATATAACTTGTAAAAGCCGTAACTCTGTCAAAACAAATCGATCGTCCAAGAAAATTTTAGGTTATAGGTAGTTCCATTGTCTCTACACACTGACCAAAAAAAAAATCAGCACCTGAGGAGCGGTCGAGTCTCTCCTTAACTTTTACATTTTCATGAACAATCGTTTGATATAAAATTAGACCATTTCGAAGCAGATATTTATGTTATGATCCTTGAATGTATCATTAATATTTGATGTACAATTTTCGTACATAGAAATAGATTAAAAAAAAAATAAAATCGATATCCGTTTGAACATTTATCCTTGATGATTATTTCTATTGAATTTGTTCGATGACATTTATTCATTCTATTTTAATTTCGTAAAAATAGAAAACATCGTTTGTAATAGAAGTCATTTATTAAATACGTTGTAAAACGATTAAAAGATGAATCAATCAATCAATCTGATTCATTCATACTTTTCAAAGATTACATGCTTATCTTTTCATACAACTGATTCGATTTATTTTTTCGATAAAAATATTGATCAACATGCTCACATATTCTAATATCTAAACGCCATTATTATATTTTAAAACACTGATTCCATTAATATTATTTATCATGCAGATCCTTGATTTATTCCTCACTAAGTTATCTAGTCGTTCTAATTACATTCAATCGTTTATTACTGTTCAAGGATTATCTCATAAATTATTCCACAGACAAATATATGTTCCTTTTTCAATTGTTTCTTTTGCTCTTTCACTTGTATTACTATGTATATATTTGTATGTTATTGTATACGTAAGAAAGTCAACTATATTGATCACCTACTCTACTTTCAATAATCGATGATGATGCAACTCTAAATTGAGGTGACAATCCCACTTAAAGTTCTCACTCGATTGTTCAAGCTATCTATACATATAATATCAAACACACTCGTCGCAAGTAGCATTATTATATATCATAATAACGGAGAAGGTACTATGTGCACGCAGAATTCGAACAGTCGGACAAGAAAAATTTTGAACAAGATGTCGCTCGGATTTAGAACTGTATCATCATCGATTATTGACAATAGAGTAGGTGACCATTTATAATGTTTATCGACTACAGAAAAAAATCGACTTTCAAAAAAAAAAAGATACATTTAGACATATCTATACTCTAAAATTGAAAAATAGTTAAATACGATATTTTTCTTCTTTGCACTGTTGTTTGTGTTTCCAAATCAAACACGCACAGTGTAAACTGCTGTATACGAAGAAATACGACGGTTTACACAGTCCAGTATTACGGTCGTATATCTTCGTGTCGTATACGAAGAAAGAACCGATCGTTTACGATACTTATGTATGGGGTCCCTATACGATCATGCAGATATACGGCTGTTTATAGGCGTATGCGACGTCCGTAATTGTCGACCTTGGTACTCTCAGTGTTACAAAAATAGGTTGTTTTGAAATAAATACAAAACAAAATAAAATAATATATAGACGAAATATTATCTATATGTACCAATGTGGCCAACATTTTTATCTAGACGATAACATACAAGTGTATACATAATAATACAGGAGAAAGAGAAAAAGAAATAATTGAAACAGGAACTTATTTTTGTTCATGGAAAATTCTATTCCTTTACTTTGTCTTATAAATATCTCATCTTTTTCTACATAAAGATAATATAATTTCACTTCCGTTCACTCATTTTCTTTCCAAATGTTCTATTGATTTTCTGTAAGAAAAAACACAAAAAACAAAAACATTCTTCAACCAATATCTTGAAAATTGAGGTACTACGTCAGTGATAAATGATTGAAAAAGAAAAATACAAAGAATTAATGAGTATCATCAATAGACTTCAAAGAACGGTAAAAATAATAATGACAAGTGAATAATCAACAATGACTCGTAAACAACAACAACAACAACCAAAGATGTACAGTTGAATAATGATAACGAATCAATCATTTGAATGACACGCAGTATCCATGCAGTCAATGCATGAATAAGAGAGCTTTTTTGACAGTTTTGTTTCTATACATAGCACAAATAAATAAAAGTGTACCGAGCAATAATCTAATAATATTTATGAACTATCAAAGTACCTACTATGCTTTATTTTTATTAATGTTCATGCAAAGTAATAACAACCGCTGGAAAATATGCATACATATTTTACTTTCACCTCATATTCAATAGTGTGAATGACTGATCTAATCATTTTTTTTTTTCATACATACAAAAGACAGGGAAATATATACATATACAATTAATACGTCCTCAATCGATTGTGACATTCCTGATTGAGCTTATTGTGTGCTATTATGTACTCGTATTCCTTGACTGAATTAATTATTCAGACATAATGTTTTAACCTTCCCGTACCATATTGTACTTTGGCCTTCCTTCGAGACCATACATCGTTAATCAGTTTATCACTTGCTATGACGAAACCGATATGTCTACCCTGTGCTATAATATCCTTCTTGGTATCCCTATCTTTTTCTTCTTCTCTCTTTCTCTCTTTGGTTGGTGTATATAAACGTGTGCTTTTGATGTAAGTAAGGCCATTTCATGATACGAAGAAACGGAATAGAGTATAATCTCATCCATACTAACATTTCTTCTATCAGAAATCGTCACATCAATCAATATAAGGTTTGCTTTCTTTCTCTATACTTTGATTTATTCAAATGTTTTAATTTTTGTTTTTTCAGAATTATCAATGACGACAGCACTTTTTGACACAATTGTTAAATGCACTCCACATCTTTGTCATCATAAGAGTCAACCATCATCTCATAAAGTTAATTTAGCCGATCTATGTTCTGATGCCTTAGCTGCTTGGGGTACTGATCATCCAGCCGATTTAAGTTATCGTGTTGAATTAGCACGTCGTATGGCATTATCATTTAATAATGCTGATCAAATTATACTTATGGATGATACGGCACTTGTTGTACCTCAATCAGAACGTATTCTTTTTACTGACATGCGTGGTTGTGAACGATCATTATTACCAGGTTTATGGTTATCAGCTGGTTTTCGTTGTGGTGGACGAATACTTGTTTATTCTCCACCAAATCCAGTTGAAATGAAAATATATTTAAAATTAAAAAAATTAATTGAAGAACGTCTTCAACGTTCAGTACAGATTCAAATTCTTTATGAAGATTCCAATGGTCATTTATATGATCTTATAAGTATTTTTCAAGGTAATTTGAATAAATATAATGAACTATGTGAATTATTTGCACAAAGATCACCAAAAGAATTTTATCCTGAATATCATATTTATATGCTAAAACGACATTTAAATGAAATAACAAAAGGAATTCATCATTCATTTGTTTTTCCATATGAAATGACAGAATTGCATCGACAAGAACTTCAACCATATTCTGATCGTTTAACATTACCTGATGTACCAATTAATGATAAAGCTAAACATAATTTATTTTTAAAATCAAAAGGATTTCATTCATTACCTATTTTAATTGCTGTTTCAGCAAGTGGAAAATTAATTGATAATTATCAAGAATATATTCAAACTATGGAACATCATAATCCAATTCATATAGAAAATAGTTTAGAAAATATACAAAATTTTGCTCGAGGAATCATTCAAGCTATTGATCAATTACATAATCAATATAATGTTTCAGCATTTGTTAAATTAGATGCAAATGGTGCAGCTGGTTGGTCATGTATGAGTCCTCCTAGCCATTCTTTTATGTATAATTATGATGAAAATCAAGAAAAACGTATTGATTATTTATGTGAATATATTCAAATGAAAGTTGTTGGTCAATATTTACCGATAATAGCTGTAGTTGAAGAATTTATTCAACCTCAGAAACGTTCAGGTAATATCGATGCAGATTATACAGTTTGTGGATTCGTTCTTGGAGGAAAATTTTTTCCAACATCAATTAATTTATGTGGGACTGTGAATGGAAGTTATATTGAACAGGTAAAATTGTTTTGACAACAAAAAAAAATTAGAAAAAAAAATTCTAACTGTAGTGGACGTCATCATCATCTGATCATTTAAATGATTCCGATCTTTATTGGAAACATATGTTTCATACATATTCATCAATGGTTAATTTAGAAGCATTAGAATTTGGTTATACAAATGGCATATATGCAGGTGATTTATTTGTAACAAAAGATGATCGTCATAAACAACGTGATTGGAATATTCGTCGTGGTGGACGATCATCACCTGAATCATTAATCGTATTTGGTATGTCCAATTATGAAACAAAAGTTGCTTTATCCTTGGCTGATTATGGATTAAATAAAAAATTAAATAATATTGAATTATTTCGTATTTATACAAAAATATGTCAATGTTTATCAGATGATTATGATATGTATATTTTATCAAGTGGATTTGGTTATTGTGGAAAAGATAATGAGACAAATGATTGTTTTAAATTTAATATACTTGTTCATCCAAAATGGCTTGTACAATTTGATCAAAACGGTGAACAAATGACATTACCAAGATGTCAGCATAAAGAAAAAGTAACGGAAATTGTGAAAGAAGTTGCAATGAAACTTTTTCAAAATACTATGTAGTTTTTTAGATTTTTTATTTGTAAGATTAGTTCGTTTTTAATTCTAAACTTAACTTAGTGGACGACGCAGAATAAATGAAATAAAAATCACTTTTTTTTATTATTTTGAACACTTCGATACATTTTCAGAACTTTGTATTATGCTCATTCGATAGAGAATTCTTTGCTCTACAAAACTATCGACTTTCGTTTTTAAATAACTTTTTCTTATCAGATCAAAATGGAAAATATTGACATCTTCTCAATCGTCAAACTTCGATTTTTTGCAGATATCTAGTGCTTTATGTAAGAATTCTCTCATGATGAATGATCTCAAAAATAAAGCTGTGAGTTTCTCGTTTGAGGAATGTCTTAGACTCTTACCCCATTCTATGGTTTAGGCCAGAAGACAATGAAATATTAGATCATCGGTCTCCAACGGGAACGAGAAATCTCACGTAAAAAGCAAATAAACATTCTTGCCAGACCTTGTAATGATGAATAAGGATAAATAGATTAATTAATCGGTTAATGTTGAATAATAGTAATAATAATAGGAAATGATCATTATAATGTGTTGAAAAGAGAAAAATGGAGATAACAAAAAACAAAGAGATAATAACAATAATAATAGTAACAATAATAACAACAAGTATATCAACGGAAAAGAGAAAAACAACAACTGGAAGAAAGATCACAAGCAGTGTTTCTAAGAGAAATCTAAAACAGAAATTCAAATAACATGTTATTCTTGCCATCAAAGTGTAAAAATGACACTCTATTTTTGTTTTAACAAAGTGTCCAAGATATGGATCATTAGAATTAGAGTAATCCTTTGGCTCTCGGCGATGCATATATGCATCCGAATCTATCTATCGAATAGAGGTATCAGTAGTATATTTTTTAACCATCTAGAAAAACTTTTTCTCGTATGTTTCTTCTTTGTTTCCTTTCAGCTTGATAACATTAGAGAAGTTTTAACAAAGTTTGAACCACAAAGATCAACTACTATTGGAAGACCATCGACGAGACCTTCTCCTCTGCGTTTAACTGCTCGACATTTTCCTTCGCTCATTCCATAGTCTTCGACGCGATACACGATATACATGTCCTAACTACAAAATACTCCTATATATTGCTGATTGCTTCAAAGATTATCATACAAAAACGAACTATTAATGCATTCCTAACACAGAAATGTAATTTCCTTATCAAACAAATAAAAATCATATTTAAACATTACTTTTAAAAACTTTGATTTTCGCAAAAAAAAAGGCCGGGAACCAAAGGGGTTAAATACCAGTAACAATAACAATGAATAAATTCAGAAATGTGTTCATGAATGAAACGATAAATTTGAAGATGTCAGAACATGCACTATATGCAGACTAATAAAATAATTAAGGACTTCAAAGTTTACATACAATGAATAAAAAAGTGTGAAAAATTTTCAGCAAGTGCCAATTTGACACTTTGTTTTCATGAGCAAAATGTAAAATTTAATGTCGAATCAATATCGCAAAAGTCGTGGACACTTTATCATCATGGTGGACCCTTGCTGATAGAAATACTGATCACAAGATCAGAAGATATATGTTATCCATGGAAAAGATAAAGAAGGAAAACCAATGAAAAACAACTGAACAGTTAGCGGTAATAGAGCGGCCTCTATTGACGCTAACAAAAGCATTTAGCATCATTGAATAGGCAATTTCGTACTCTCTGCACCCATGATGTTTCCAAGGTCTCTGGTATTATCGTTCCAAAGAAACAAGAGCATGGAACTAATGCCTAGAAAATGATGTTTTTCCAAGATTTGTTCTATGAAACATTCATTCTCGTACCGTCACATGTAAAATTTAACTCTGAACAAAATCATCATAATCCTATCTGAAAAGGTTGTTTTTAAGTCTTTTCATATTTTTTATTACAAATTATTTTTTCACAAATATTTCTTCTAAAATTCTGAAACATACATCAAACAATGGAGAATTTTGTGACATATTTGAAATTTCAAATGAATCTTCATTAAAAAATCTTGCATCAATTTCTCATTTTATTGACTGTTTTAGTTAGATGATTGAGAAGATGTAAATCTTTTATATTTTTGCTCCAACAAGAAAAAGTTATTTGAATCCCAAATTTAACAGTTTTGTAGAACGAAAGATTCTCTATTGAACAAGGATAGAATGAAATTCTGAAAGTGTACCGAAGTTTTTCAAAAAGAAAAAGACAATAATATTATTCCATTTAATTTGCACCACCATTTATATATATATTGATATAGTAGATCTATTTGCAAGCTTTTTTAAACTTTTATGTAAATATTGAATATTGAAAAAAAATGAATACAATACATTATTTGGCTTTTAATTTTGAAGAAAATAAATCGGAATGTTTAGAGACTAATTCTGTATGAGGTGATTGTGAATGAGGTAAAAAATTTAGTAGAAAATCTAGAAGAAAAATCTAGTTAAGGAGTAAAGTTTTTATTTTTATGTAAGTGAGAAGAGAATAGATTTCTCTATGTACTTACATGAAATAAAATTCTTATTACTCTAATGATTGAGTAACTAGCGATATAAAATAACACTTCTGAAACGTTTCCTTTATCTGTCATGTTGGTAAAGCGAATGCTTCAGTGGACAACAAGCAAAAACATCATTAACTAGTAAATTTACTCACTTCTAGCTGTAAATTTCAATATACTTTTTAAAAATGATATCATTCGATTCCTTATCTTCAATTCCATCTAATTCTAGTTGTTCAGCTCAATCTAGTGTATTTTCGATTTTTAGTGATTTTTTTAAAATATACTATATATTCGTTTTATCTGTAAGGTAGCTAAAGCGAACGTTCAGTGAGAAACTGTTGGTAAAGCAAACACGCTAGCCATTTTTGTGGGAGATAATCTACTCAACAGTATTTCATTTACTTCTGCTTTTCAAAAATCAAAATTGATCATGATAACCTTTGACAAATCTCTTCAGAACGCTTAGATCTACTACTAATCAACGGTTCAAATAAAATTGATAAATATTTTGTTTCGTGCGTTGTTGTTCCTCCTTTGATCTTTCGTATTTTATGGAAAAGAACAGTGGAAAAGGTGATTTTCATGCAAAACTAGTAAAAAGACAAGTACTAATTAGAAATTTATTATAAACAACAGCAAAAAATAGATGTATTATATAATAAAGATTCTTATAGAGATGGCGACACTCTACTAACTCTTCATTCATCGTGCGTTTGTTCAACGATCGATTCTTGTGATCCTTGACTTTTGACTCTTGAGAAAGTTACGAAAGCAATTTAGGAACAGCTTATAAACGAAAAATCGTTTTTAATGCCACCTGCATCACAAGGACCAATTTCTCGCGTTCGAAATGAACGAAATTTCCATGAAATCGGCACAAATAATTTTTTCGTTCAACAAATAATGGAAAAACGAAAAAAAAAATTGATGAAACCAAGAGTAAACAGATCCAATGTCACGAAAACTATAACAACATTAGTCAAGCAAAATAAAATAGAATAAAAACAAAATTTGGCTTATTGAACTTGGTTTTTATTGTCAATTGTATTTACAGATCATGTTGAAATTTTTTTGCTTTAAAGATTATTTTATATGTCTGTTTTGATCAACATTTCATAGAGAAAATGTTTTAAAAAAACTTAAATATTTTATTTAACGAAAATCTTATTTATAACGTTTTTCTGACCAATTCTGTTTCTTCTGTAGAGAAACTAAATAGTATCACACATGTAAAAAAAAAGTTATAAATGTTACAAAAAAATAGATTTTTAAACCGATTAAAATCATTCAATTTTAATCGATTATTAACCAATTACAAACTGATTATAACCGATTTTAAATTATGCAATAAGTCATTTTTAATCGATTTTGTGTGATTATAAATGATAGAATTTTGCTCCAGTTTTGTTTGTTTGACACATTGATTATAAACAATTTCTTAATGATTGTTAAATCGATTTTAATCAAAATTAATCAGAATAATGAGATTTAGATATGTTTGAATATGTTTTTCATAATTGATTTCTAGTCTATCGAGAATTGATTTCTCTCATTAGGGTTTTTTATACATAGAAAGTCGCTTCAACTGTGAGCAAATTCAATATTTCTAAGTCATCTACTGCAAACATCTGAATGTGATTTTTTTTCTATTTTATGATACTCAGGTTGAACGATGCAGTCCGTATACGGTCGTTTAAGGTTAATTTATGATACAGAAATGAACCATAATTTGTCGTAAAATCTGGCGCATAAATACTGTTGTATCATAGTGAGATTACCGCACATATACGATCGTATGCAGGAAGAATACGGCATCGTATATGTTGCCGTAGTACTGTGCTGAAGATTACGAGAAAATACGAATAATTCTATTCACCGATCTAGGTAGGTTTAAAATTTATGTTAGAAAATTCAAAATATATTCCAATAGATAAGAGAATTAATAAAGAAAAACTCTGTTCATCAGTTAATTTTGTTATAATTGGAAAGCTATTGTTTTTTGTGATAATATTAAAAAATATCTAAACATAATGCTGTTGATCGACGTGCTGAGAAACCATAAACACAAATTTGTATTGAAAGTTATTCTATTTTCTAACATAGTTCCTATAATCGATGTTGTCTGACATCTATAAATGATGGAACCATAATTTTTTTTTTGCGTCGCAAGCAAAAACAAAAATCAACAATAAACATTTACTAATAAACAATATTGTGTTATTAAATCAATAAATGTTCATTATAAAACTGTGAAATAAAAATTAAAAAAAAAGTGAAATAATGTTTGATATATTTTAACATCAATGGGTAATCATCATTCAGTAAAACGTGAATGTTTACATGAAGCAATACGTCGAAAAGATGTAAAAAAAATCAAACAAATTATATATAACAGTGATATAGATTTTATTAAAAATGATTTTAAATCTCTTGAACTTGCAACATTATATAATCTTACTGAAGTAGTTGAACTACTTCTTAGTCGCGGTTGTGTACCAAGAGATAAACGAACAGCACGAGCATTTGATCTTGGTAATAAAAAAAAAAAACAAACCAAAAAATCTTTATTTTTTATTCTTTCAATTCTTTTTTTATCTGTTTAGCTGTTTGGAAATGTCATAAAGATATTGCAACAATGTTTTTAAAAGCTGGTATTGAATATAAAGGAAGAAATCAATTTAATGAAACTATATTATTTGTATCGGCTTGTGGAAATAATTCAACATTAACAGAAATTCTTATTGAAGGTGGTTGTGATTTAAATGAATGTACACGTAGTTGGACTGCTCTACATGTTGCTGCAGCAAGAAATCATGATGAAGTATTACGAGTACTAGTTAAACATGGATGTGATTTAAATATACGTGATCGTGATGGTAAGACAAACAAAAAAAAGAATTTTGTTTTTTTTCTTCTGAACTTGTCGTTTTGAATTATTCTATATAGGCTTTAATGCTTTAATGTTAGCAATTTTGAATGAAAATTTAAAAAATATCAAACTTCTTGTTCAATGCGGTTGTTCAATAAATATTGAAGAACTTTATTCAACTCCATGTGTTGCTAAGCAATTAGCAAAATATCCTGAAATTGAACGTATACTTTGGAATGAACGTACACGTGTTAAAAATTTAAAAGAATTATGTCGTCTTCGAATACGTTCATGTTTAGGACAACGACTATGGAAAAAAACATTATTATTACCATTACCAACACGGATAAAAGATTATATTGCATTAAAAGAATTATTTGTTTCATGTGAAGAACAACAACAAATGACATTAACACGATCACCACGTACAAATATTCAAACAATTCAATCATAAATTATCGTATTATTTTTTTTTTTTTTTTATTTGAAAACCAGTTTTTTGAACTAGTCATGTTCTATGTTGTATATGTGGATTCGTTTTTTTTTTGGATCTTTTAATCTTTTATTCATATATGAAAATCTTGTCGTTTTTTTTTTCTTTAATGTACACATTTACAGATATAAAATATACTGGTATTGCTTTGTTTTTGACTATGGAAAATATAAACATATGTTTAAAAAAAAAACTATTATTACAGAAAAATCTATTTATAGTGGAGTCTATCGGATTCAAAATCTTTGGACGGAATCGGATTTATTGAACATTTTTTTCGGACCCATATCTGAACTGTACTCTTAATATTCTCATTGAAATTTTTTTTCATCCGAACCTGATAGTTCTTCTGAAAGTGTAAGATACTTTTTTCGATTATTTGTATTCAATGAATGACATATCCTACATATTTCTCAGACAATCTTGACGATGATCTTATAGAAATCAAGTTATGATTGGCATTTACTTAAAGAACAGTATCCATCGATCTGGTACTGATGTAAAGAAAATTTTCAGAACTGAGTTCGGATTTTGAATCCACTTGACGGACTGTAATTAATAGTACTCACATAAAAAGAAAGTACTTGTATAAAATTATATTTTCATTCTTTTCATTCGTTGCTTATATCAATTACAGTACTTGTTATGAGAAGATTATGTTTTCGATATTCTTTTCAAGAACAAGTGAACCATAAGTAATACCTAATTCCATACTAATACTAGTGAAATCTATATCATGTTGGTCTATTTATTTTTAGATTCTATTATGTCTTTTTCTTCATCATCTCGTCGTTCGTCAGCTTCTTCAACTAATCCAAAAATATCAAAACTTCAATTAAATTCTATTCAGGTTATATATTCAGGTTTGATTTTATTCACGTTTTTATTTATATTATTTTTTTTTTGTTTTTTTTTCTTTCATTTAGAATCTTCAAGCAGAAAATGAATGTCTTCGTCAAGAAATAATTGCTCTACAAAAAATTTTTTCAATACCAATCGATGAAAATCATCGTTATACAAATTTTCGTTATCAAATTTATTCACTTGAAAAACAAGTTGCTTTACTAACACGTTTACTCGATTGTAAACGAGAAGCAGTAGCAACATGTGAAACAATTCTTTTGGAACTTAATCAATTTTTAGAGTAAGAACAAATATATTCATTAATATTATTTATTTCATATATATATATATATTTTTTTTTGTGATAGGAATCTCAAAGATAAAATTTCTCGTAAGGAACATATCGATGAAAAACTCATACAAACATGGATTGATCGAATTGAGAGTAATCGAAAAAAATCATTCAAATCAATGCAGGTTGTTATTTAAACAAAAAAATATTGATTTTGATTTTTCAAAAATATTAATATAGGATCATGCAAGTCTATCAGATAGTGATACTCTCTATGCACCTAATAGTACAAAATTTATTAATCAAGAACCAATTCATCTTCTTGATATATGTTCAGGAAAAATCGAACATCTTAATTTGAAGAATATTGTAAGTTGAATTAGTATATTTACAAAATCTTTATGACTTATTTTTTTTTATAAGGCTAATTTAGAAAGTTCATTGTATAATCTTCATGCTGATCTTCGTTCATTTCAAAATGAATTACTCGATCAAACAAATCATTCAATTTTTCCTGATCTTAATAAAAATTTAATTAAACGTTCA